GTGCAGGGGAAGCATGCTAATCTCGTGGAGCTGTAAATTTTGTTTGCCTTAGAATGAGTGGAAGGAGACTCTTTTTTTTTTTTTTTTTTTTTTCAAAAATARACTYTGCCTGCTAACTTGGGTGCATTTGTGACGGGACGGATTTGTTGGTAGAGATTGGAAATGGGCCAAAAGATGCCTACTGAGTACTCACTGGTTTAGGAGTTGAGACCCCATTTTGAGCCCATGGATGCCAAGTATTATGTAGGGGCCATGCTAATCTTTTCTGTGTATACATCGAGCTGTAAATTTTGTTTATCTTAGAATGATTGGAAGGAGACTCAGCCTGCATACTTGGGGTGAATTTTGTGAATGGATGGATGTGTTGGTAGAGATTGGAAATGGGCCAAACGATGGAGATGGCTTCTGAGTACTCACTGGTTTAGGAGTTGGGACCCCATTATGAGCGCTTGGATTCCAAGCATTACGTATCCCATGATCCTCGATTGTGTTTTCTTTGCCTCTTCGGCTTGCCGGCCAGAGAGGACCAACCCCAAGATGATCTGGACCACTTCGCCAGCAATGGAAAGCACTTCCACGACGTGACGGCCTCTGCAGATGAAGGGCTGAAAATGCAATGAATGACAGGAAAGACCATGCAGACAAAGCACAGAGCACCCGAAGAAAAAAGGCACAGCAAGTGAGAAAAAAAAACAAAGCCAAGCGTGCAGCACAGGAGCTCATGTGCACACATATTTGTACATGCGTCGCTCTATCAAATGTGATTTGCATCTGCAATGGATTTTTTTTTTTTTTTTTTTTTTTTTTTTAAAGCAGCATCCTTGCTAGGAGAGGTGATAAGAGTGCACCCCTCCTAGCAAGAGACCTGGATGCTCCAATCTATTGGTGGGGAGCAGCACCTGCTGGAAAACGGGTCCAGCGTCCCACTGCACATCTGTAGTCCTGCCAGCATTTATTGTCCTGTTACGGGGGGGGAATAACTGAGCAGGACACGAATAGTTGATTGAATCATTGAAAAGTTTATTTGGATCTGCATGGATTTGGTACCCGCAGTGTTGCAGATGAGCCCATGTGCCTCCACGATGTTGCATCGCCATTGCCTGAACAGACCCTTTGGACAAAGGGCCACCATGCAATGTGTCTCCCCGGGATTCGCAACGTTCTGACATGAGTGCATCTGTGGAAAGCCTTTCACAAACACATATGAGGGGGCGAGCAGGGGGGGAAGGGAAAAGAGAAGGGGGGGGAGGAGGGGGGGGGAGGAGGGAGGGTGCGCATTCAAGCACCAGCACCTTCTGGGGGGAAACGGCTGGTTAATACAGAGGTCGGGTGTTGGATGTACTGGCCTGGCTGTGCCAGGTCCAATACATAGTAGCAAAAATAAATGGACCATTTTTTTATTATTATTATTTTTTTAGAACACCCCCTGCAGTGCTAGTGCTGCTGATAAAGGCCGGCATCACTAGCACCCAAGGAGAGGCTCCATCTATTGGTGGGGAGCATCACCAATTTTTATTGTGATTGACAATAAAGTTGAATAAACATCTTATTTATTTGATTAAATTAGAATAAACTGTTCATTTTCGTTATCTTCATTTCGTTCCCATTCCATTAAATTATTAAATCAAATATTATATATATTATATAAATAATAATTCTGTATTCTAAGTTTATGTGAGGAACGAGCCCTCAAGGGGCCGTATCAGACATCATATGTTCTGGGCTAAGGCCCCAGCAAGCTGAGTGCCCGCCCTAAGTGAAGGCAGGCCTGAATATTCGTCAAAGGCCAAAATTCAACATTTCCATATGTGGGTATTCAGGCTCTAGTAGCACGCCAGTTGGTTGGGTAGACGCGTGAGCCTCACTAAGCTGCGTTGTACAGTTGGCCCAGGCCTTGACAGTTGCGCCCGGGGACATACACACAAAGCAGGGCCGATACACTGGGAAGCATGCCATCGGCCTTTGGAAAAGCAGTACTGCCGACACACCTACCTGGGAGCCCTGCACGGATGCAGCAAACAGCCCAATCCCGGATACTCAGGCCGTGCCCAACTTAAAAGTGCCCAGGCCCGAGGGCGCAGGGTCTGAGGCCCAACCGGAAGCTACTGGAAGCTTCCAGCCAGGCCACACGCAGCATCCAGGAGGCTGCCACTTCCATAAAAGAAGTGAGGCAGCCCAGGCCAGGATTGGGGGGGCCAGTGCAGGCAATGCGGAAGTGCTGCTGCGCTGCGGCCAAGGGCGCTGATGGGGCGCGCTGAGGTGAAGTGGGGCGCTGCAGGGCAGTGGGGCGCAGGCAGCCATAGCTGGGCTGCTGGGCGCCAGGGGAGTAATGCGGGCGATCTGGTGGTCTTCAGGGAAGGAGTCGAGTGTGGGCTTATCAAGGTCTGATTGAGGGTGACAAGATACGTACCTGGTGCATGAAGAGAGGTCGGCTATGGTGTTGACAGTCATGTACATTGGTCTTCGAGAGTCGAAGTGAGCCTGTTGCGTGAACCAGCTGTAGGCAGGATAGTCGGGTAGAGTAGGCTGGGCGCTGGGTGCCAGACAGAGAGGAGCCACTTTGGATACTGTGTTGGTGTGGCCTACGGGCTTGAACATTGGCTCATTACTTCATTGTATTGCTCTATATGGATGGTTCTCGGTGCATTTTGTACTCTCTGCTTGGACACGACTACCTGGACATCTGTGTGATTTCACAACTTGGTTTTCTGTATATCGTTCACACTCGTTTTCCTTGCAATTTGGTACCGGAGCTGGTTTGTGATCGCCGCTTACCTGGTGCTGGCGACATTGTTACTTGGTGCGCTGACGATGCTTCATGTGCAGTAAGGAGACTTTGAAGCTGGCTTGATTGAGCGGGGCCTAGGTGGAGAGGCCGGCCGCTGGAAGGCTGTGGCGTTAGCGTGGGAGCTGTGGCGACAGCGGTTGTATGTATGATGATGAGAGTATGTTGACGTGGCATTTTGGCTGAGGTGGCACTGCATTGAGTTGTGGGTGGTACCGAGGCTATTGACTGGTCATCGAAATGCATGTCGGCCCAATTGGTGAGAAATCTGTGGTTGGGGGCAGCTATCTCCAGGTACGTTGTTCCCATTCCTTATCTACCCTCTCAACCTCTTCTTACCGTGAGGAAGTGAGTCCAAATTGAGCGTCCTCTCTTTTGAAAGGAGTCGTGTGCGCTCTATCTTGAGAGACGACATTCTTCCCGGTGGCGCATCTGGCAAGAGAGGGCGGTGCCTCTGAAGGGCCCTGGTCGAAGCACGGGTCACGGTCACCCTGCCAACCCATGGGAGTAGTACACGCAGGCTATGCTGCTTTGTCCATTGAGGCTCTTTGCTGTGCTGATAGAAGGGGTGAGCGGACTGACCAGTCCTAATTCAGACGCTCCCAGACCATCTATAAACATTTCTGGTTGGGGTCCGATCTGTCCACTGGCTGTGATTGTTGTCCTGATTGCGACGTTAAATAATTCCTGAGGACCCTCGGGGGCTGTCCTTAAATTGCCTCTTGATCAGCCAGATCAGTCGGACATAAGGCTTGTTGCTTGTGAGGGTAAATAAAGGGCAGTCTGGTCATAAGCATACACCTTGGGCACAGGGGTGGGCCGTGATTGCACACCTTAGACACCGCAGCTTGATGATGCTCACAGGTACGTTGGATACAGGGGGAGGGGATTCCAATTGTGAACTCTAGTGTACATCACTATAATATCCATTGTGCATACATCTGCTCACTGTAGTTTGTTTTTATCTTGATTAGTTGGTTGACAAACTGCTAACACCTAACAGGCAGCCTAGAGTAGGACTGTAATCTACCATAGTCAGTTCTTCTCAAAGCTTCTGTGCAGAACTAATCAGGGTAGAAGTAGACTACATGTGTACAGTCCATGTAGGTGCTGTAGATGCCGCTTGACCGATAGTCTAGGTAACTCGCCGGACATTATTTATTTTATTTATTTTTAGAACCGGTCAGACGCATGCTGCGGTAGGTCCCAAAGAGGACATTAGTGCAGACAGCGTCTACCTAGCCCATGAGTGGATCAGAGGGTGCTGAAGGTACAACTGACGATAGGAGGCAGACACGATGGGAGACCGGTAGGATACCTGTTGTGTTCCAGGTTCTACTACCAGGAGACGAGAGAAGGCTTAGGGGAGGAGCAAGGGCCCGTAATCTAGAGACTTCGAGAGAGGCAGCAACAGCGGCTGAACGGGCGTTGGCAGCAGCAGCAACTAGCGCAGTAGCAATGGCTACCTCTTCATCCACTTCTGCTGCACACTCCACTGGGCAGAGTTTGGGCATGCCACTCAACGCGACCAGTTCACAATCCATCTCCAGTACGTCAGGAGCTGGCACTAGTCAGATGGCGGGCTCACAGTTCAGCTTGCCGCCTCCACGCACCCCGGAGCAGATGGAGCTCCAGCAAGTAGAAAGGATCCGCATACGGCTAGTGGAGGAACTTAGAAAGGCTACTGAAAGAGAAAAAAAGATTAGAAACAGGAGTATCAGACTACAGAGCAGAGAGGCAGACAAAGCTGCATTAGAGGGTTTAGACGACGCTACCCTTGACAACAACATGAAACTTGTCAAGGCGAGCATCCTGTCCATGCACGCATACATGGACAGCAAACTGGATGCAATCCAGGACACTCTGGACCAGACCGCCATACGAAGGCCAGGAGTCAGGCCAGCAGTTTTACCATCGCTGCCATTCTCAGCACCGAAAGGCCCCTATGCCACTCAATTCGGATCCACACCAAGCGGTACTATAACAGCGGGCCTATTGCAGATTGTTGCTTCTTCATCTTCTGGTCCAGCGACTGGAGCTACACCACAGTCGCCACCTGTCCCGCCAGCGGGACAGCAATTGCCTTGGTACCCCAAGACCGCCCTGAAACCACCTCCAACCTTCTTAAGAGACAAGAAGGATGAGGCTCTCGACACGTGGTTGAGAACGGTGCCAGCTTGGGTGAGGGCAAAGAGGACATTGGTAGAAGAGGAAGTGATAATTGTTGCATCCTACCTAGAGGGTTCAACAACTCGCTGGCTTAATGGATTGGTTGCTTCAAAGGGGTTCGGCAGGAACATGGGTGATTGGGTGCAGACCCACACCCTAGAGAGCTTTATGGACTTAGTGGAAGCACGTTGGCACAATCCTCAACAGGCACAGATTGCCACTGATGGGTTATTAAAGCTTGATGCTAGGAAGTACAAGTCTGTGCGGGAGCTTACCACAACCGTAGAGCGCCTGATTGTCGTCCCAGGAGTGGAGTACAATCCACAGGTCTTATTGACCATGTTCTTCAGATGTCTTCCCTTTGGCCAGCGAGTTTCGGCTAGAGTATCACACATTTGAGACCTTCAGCAAGACGGCCTTAGACTTAGAGGATACGTTGGGAGGTGCTCAAACCCCTTCTGTTGACGGAAGAAAGAAGAAGGCTCTACAAGAGTGGAAGAAAAAGGGTAGTCGATTGATGATGGTTGATTCCGAAGGGAATCAGACTAAGATTGATGATGTTTATGAGCTTGAGGAGAATTCAGAGTTAGGCGGCGAGGAGAGTGTTGAGGGTAGCAACCTCGCCTCCGTAGTTAAGACTAAGGCAGGTGG